TAAGTGCTATTCCAACTTCTTTGCATAGCACTCTAGGGTCTGAGGTGATGAAGTCCAAATATGGTGGCTCCTCTGCCATGATGATGAAAATTACTCATTATAGAAATATTGACAATTTGTTCTGTTTTTCATCTATTTGTCTTCCTCCTGCCAGTTTCATCTATTAATGTTCTTTGGATGATGTGGCTCATTTGGGTTTCATGCCAAGCTTTCTTTAGACTTGTTTTTGCTTTCACTGATTTGCCTATTTTATAAAGTGATATTGCTCCTTCCATCATCCTTCAGTCTTACAAATGAATTTGTATTCTAAACCAGTATTGCCTTGTTTTGCAATTTCTTTCCTCTTGGCAAGGAAATCAAGTATTTGTTGACTAAGGTGGTTGCTAGGTTTTTTTGGCCTTCTCCTTGGAGTAATCGATTTTCACAGTTAAACTTTCACAGGAAATACTCAATTTTATTTTTTGTGTATTTTTTTCTGCATCACTCATATTGATTGCTCAGGGTCTTCTGACACTTCTGGAAAAATGCATTCATGATGCATAGTTATGAATCTTCTGAATAGTCTAAATATAGTAGTCTAATAAACTTTCATAAAATTAAAAATTATTCATAAAGTTAAGTGAATGAAGAATGCTTATCATTCAGATTGTGACATACAGTTTTATGGACAACCTATGTAACTAGTCCAGGAGGAGGAGTGGGCAGGATTACCTTTGAGAATTTACACAAGGCTTTTAATGACCTTAATTTTTTTCCTGAAACAAAGGTCCATCATTTTAATAATAATAGTCTTCCAGTAATACTGTATGGCTACAAGCCATGGAATACCATAATCTATTAAGAATTAAGTTGGAAAGCCATCCATACCATCATCATTGCATAAGTGGAATAGGGTAGGTAGTGACTCCTCTAGAAAAACTACACAAACACAACTGCTTTGTGTCCTTTTCCGGGTTGTCTGCACATCACTTCCCAATCACCAGACTTCCTTTGGCCTATACTCCAGTCCCTCTTCTACTTACAAGTATCTAAATATAAGAGGACAAGCCAGGGACACGAACATAGCAGTCTGTATCCTGTTTTGGACTGGACTCTTCTGAGATTTGGGGGTGACTGCCACCTGTTTTGGTAACTTGCATTAACTGCATATCTGGGAAGGGCCCTCTGAGCCTCCACTTACTAGGAAGCATGCTTTATTGAGCTCTCCTTCAGAGGAAGAGCATTGTATAGTCTGTAAAGTTGAAGCTACCTTCCCTGCCCGGGCCATCACAAGTGAGATAGAATCCAGAGACAATAACAGCTCTGTCAATCTAGTATGACATCCACATGACCAAGTACATCTAATGTGACTTCTGCCAGGAAATGTCTTACTGATGCCATTGTTAAAGGAACCAACTTTGAGAGTTCCACAGAGACCCATGAGGAGCTGCTTTACAAAAAAGATAAAATTGTCAATAACTGGGACAAGTGAGAGGCCAAGATCACTGCCAATATCCAGGACAATTTCTTTTATCAGTGAAATCTGAATACCTATCCCTATACTGTTCTGTTGGGTCTAGTGTGTACCAGCTAACATCCTGTCTGTGTATCCCTGAAATAAAACATTGAAACCTCCCAAAAACATGGAATGAGGTCACATAGAGCTTAAAACCATTTTCTATTTCTGTTTCAAGGGTCATTATCCTTGGAATCACCCCAAAAGTTATCCTTAGGACCCAACCTTCTGGCAATAATCTTTTCCATACTTAGCTGTTTCTCAGGTAGCAGAAACAAAATGTTTCTGAGACCATAATCAAAACATTTCCAGTGTGCTGTAGAACATGCCAGAGTTTGTACTCTGTTGGCATAGTTCTCAAGGATACAATGTTATCTTTGTAGGAAGAAAACTTACATGGAGGCTTTTGTGACTTTTCTTTCATTGATGTTTTGAACTTCTAAAATTTACCACCTTAGAAATGTTAGAAATATGAATTATTATATTGTTAATATTATATATTATTAGTATCTAGCCACATCATCGACCTGGGCTTCAAGAGGTGAATATAAGTGGAAAAATACAATAGGAACAGTTTGGTTTCTATCTCTTGCAATGTTTCCATCACAGAAAAGATTCCTCAGGTTCTTCAGATTCTTCAGAAGAGTAATGTTCCTCAGAGCCTGAGAATCAAAGATCAATGTAAAGTAATGAATGCCACTGTCCCAAAGGAATTGGAGGCTTTCTTGATATCATTACTTTTGGTTAACTGGCACCACAAGAATTTGATTTCTACCAATTTCAAGAGGATTGTGTAAAAATAATGTCAAGTCAACTAGAATTTATTAAGTGCCTACCATGTGCCAAGCACTGTGCTAAGTGGTACAAAGAAAAGCAAAAGAGTCCCTACTCTCAAGGAGCTCACAGTCTAATCGGGGAGACAACATGAAAACAATTGTGTATAAACCACAAAGATACAGGGTACATGGGGTACTCTCAGAAGGAGGGCGCTAAGATTACAGAGGACTTTTGAAGGGAAGGGCCTCTTCAAGAATGTGGAACTTTAGCTGAGACTTGAAGGAAGCCAGGGAAGGTAGGACAAGGAGAGAGAAAGTTCCAGGCAAGGAGAACACCCAGGGAAAATATTCAGAGATTGAATATGGAATCTTGTGAGTGAGCAACAGCAAAGAGGCCATTGTGAATGCACTACAGAATGGAGGAATAAGGTATAAGAAGACTGGAGATGTAGGAAGGGGCCAAATTAAAAAGATTTTATATTTGATCCGAGAAGTAACAGGAAGCCACTGGAGTTTTTTGAATAGGGGTGTGATATGGTCAGATATATGCTTTATATAAAAAATATGTATAAATATATAAAAATTACCTCTTTTTTTACAGTTGTCTAAAGAATGGATTAGAGTGAGAAGAGACTGTAGCAGAGACCAATGATATTGCAATAGCTCTGTATGAGATGATGAAGGCCTATAACCAGGGTGGTGTCAGTGTCAGAGAAAAGAAGAGAGTATATATGAGATGACATGAAGGCAGAAATGATAGGACTTCACAACTGATTGGACATAAGGGGTGAGAGAGAGTGAAGAGTGGATGAGGATGATACCTAGGTGAGCCCAAGTGATTTCCCTTTAATAATAATAGGAAAGTTTAAGAAGAGAGGGGTGCTTGGAAAGGGGAGAATATAATGGGTTCAGTTTTAGACATATTAAGTTAAAGAAGTCTATGGGACATTGAAGTCAAGATATCTAAAAGGCAGTTGGAGATATGAAACCAGAGATCAGGGCAGAGATTAAGTCTGGAAAAGTAGATCTGGGGGTCATCTGCAGAAATGATAATAAACATCATAGAAGCTAATGAGATCACCAAGTGAAAAGGAATAGAGGAAGAAGTGAAGAGGGCCCAGGATAGAGCACTGAAGGATTCCCACACTGGCATTGTATTCTCTTTAATGTATGTAATGTATGTAAACTTATCTATGTAAACTTAAACTGGAGAAAACTGTGGAACCATCCCTCTTCCCTCCAATTTTCATCTTTCCCCCTACTTTTGTGTGTGTGTGTGTGTGTGTGTGTGTGTGTGTGTGTGTGAGCCAATAATAGTTATGTAGCACTTGAACTATCTTGTCGGCTCTCATTTTCATTACAAAACAACATTCTCTGCACTCATCCATGCGACCATTACAAGAAATATTTTCAAACAAAAATAATCGTTTGTGTTTACCCTTCAATATGTTGCTGTTGTTTGACTGTTTTTTTTTAACAACCTGTGCTGAACCCGCATAGTTCTAATGTTGTGACAAATTTTTCATTCTTATGACTTCATTACTGTCTCTTTGGCACTTACAGACAATAAATCCATAATCCACAAGCATTTCTGAATGATCTTTTACAGTCTATGATGCTTCTTTGACTTTGAATCATTAATAACTAATTGGGAATCTAGGCAGCACAGTACATAGGACACTGGACCTGGAGTCAGGAAGATCTGAGTTCAAATCCAGCCTCAGATACTTGCTGGTTATGAAACCATAGGCAAATCACTTAACCTCTGTCTGCCTCAGTTTCCTCACCTGATAATAGCACCTACCGCCTGTGTTTGCTGTGAGGATTAAAATGGAATATTTATAAAATGCTCTGCAAATCTTAATGTTAGCAATTACTTTTAGCCATTATTAATAACTTGACTTTGATTTAAGGAGTTGTTTTATAGAGAAGAAAATTTTGACTGTGTTCCCCTACAAAGTGGATTTGAACACATCCAAATGAATAAAAAAAAAAGATTGAGATAGACTCATATTTGACTATACATTGTTTGTTTGTAACCAAAATAATAATTTTCTTAAAATTTAATTGGGGATTTTAGAATTTCCTGATGTGAGCAAGGTGGGGCTTTTAGAAGAAATTATATAATTCATTGATATTTTTCTTCTGACAGTATATGTAAACTTTCAGTTACAGAGGCAGATCAGTCTTCAGAGTCAGGAAGACTTGAGTTTGAATCTTGCTATAGACACTTACTAGCTTTGTGACTCTGGACAAGTCAAATAACTACTATAGATCTTAGTTTATTCATCTGTACCTAACTCTCAGGGTTCTTGCAAACATTAATGAGAGACTGAGTTATTAATTAGTTATTAACGAGATGAGTAAAGCATTATACATATCTGAAAAAGTGATATATGTTAGCTATTATACTAAAGACATCATGTTTCATGCAATTAAAAAAATCTATTTTTTATTTTTGTGTGTTTGAAAGGAATATTGTTTGTTGTATAATTCTGTAACCTGACTTGTTGGCTTTTGTGTTTCATGAGACTGTTAGGATCAATTTTTGATGAAAAACATTATTATGTAAGTAGTTAATAGACTGGGAAAAGTGGCTGGTATTAGGGGAGTGGGGAGCAGAGAACAAATACCTAGGCAGAACTTAGAAAATAAAGGCTAGTGAGAGAAAGTATGGCAGGCTCAGGCCCATGCATGGGCAGGAACCAGTCTGTCCTTAAGCAGCTCAGGAAGGACAAATCACAATCACTGAAGTCCCCACTACCACAAATTCTGTAGTCAAGTCTCCCAAATGTGGGAAAACTGAAGGGGTCAGAACAGGCAGCTTGTAATGGCTTTGTCTCTCCCAAGAAAAACCACTTTCCTGATCATAGTACTTCTCCAACTGGATTAAGTATTCTACTCATGCAATTCTAAATGTTCTAAAGAAATTATTTGTCAGAAAGGTAAAATCAAATCTAGAAAAGACTTTAGAAACAATCTCATATAAGATCAGTCCTTCATTTTACAACTTAGAAAACTGGGAAAGAGAAGTGATTTGTCCAAAGCCAGGTAAATAGAATCAAGCTCTCAAACTCCTGAGCCAATTGTCTTTCCACTATACAACCACTTGGCTACTATTTCTTTAGGAAATTATTACGCCTGATAAACTAATCATGGTAAGGTGACCCTAGTACAGCTTAATGTCTTACTCATCCCAGGTAACATGTGCTTTTCTTATGGGCTTTGTTAAAATACAATGCCTTTGCTGTTGTTGTTCATTTGCTTCAGTCATGTCCCACCCTTGGTTGACTGCATTTGGGATTTTCTTGACAAAGATACTAGAATGGCTTGCCATGTCCTTCTCCAGCTCATTTGACAGCACAGGGTTAAGTGACTTACCCAGGGACACACAGCTAGAAAGTGTCTGAGGTCAAATTTAAACTCATTCCTGACCCCAGTACCAGCAATCTGTCTGTTGTGCCACCTAGCTGCCCAAAATACAATGCCTATTATAACCATTTGGGCAATATCCAACATGGAGTTAAGCTGCTATTCACTTCTTTTCCACAGAAAGAGATAGGATGGGGAAGCAGCATTTACTACAATTACCACTCCAAGAAACTGAAACTCAGTGCTGACCTTCCATACACTTCTCTCCATTACAGAATTTTTAGTTTCTCATGGCTATTTAAATCAGCAGAAGCCATTCATATTATAAGCAATTCTCATAGGGTTGTGTTGTGAAAAAGGCATTGGACCAGGAGTTGGGATGTTTTAGCTGACAAGAGAAGCATAACTGTCTTTAAGGATCTGAAGTGCTATGGTGCTGAAGGAGGGTTAGACTTGTTCTATTTAACTCCAGGGGGTAAAACCAAAAGCCAATGGGTGAAGGTTACAAAGATGAAAATTTAGGCTTTGATGTGCAGGAAATTTTCCTAATACTTAGGGCTGTCCAGAGGTGCAATGGGCTCCTTGGAAAGGAGGTGAGTCGCCTTCACAGGTGATCTTCATCTCAGGAACTTAACCAGCTGGCTCTAGCACACCACCCTTTCCAATCACGGGCAGAGATTTTTATTTTTGTGTTTGTATCCTCAGTACTTAGCATAAGGCCTACCAATGGCAGGTGCTTAATAAATTCTTGTTAGTTGAGTGATTCACAACCTTAGACAAGTCACTTCTTTTGTCTTAGCCTTAGTTTCCAAGAGGATTAAACTAGATGAACTCAAAGGTCCTTTCCAGCTCTAGTATTTGTATGATTCTATAATGAGCAAGGAGACTGGAGTCCTAGGAAACCAAAGATATGTCAAAGAATATGTTCCATGTAACTATTCTTAGGAAAATAAAAGTTTACATAAGAAATTTAAATGTAAAATCTGGCACCACAAGTCATCTATTTTTCTAGGGCTACAAGTCATTCATTGGCTTGAATTCAACCTCAGAATCTGATAACTGTCTTAGTTTATTGATTAATTAAAACATGGCAACTAAGCAGGAATATTTATTAATGAGAATTTAGGGCTGTGGTGTTTTTTCTCCTCTGACTCTAAAATGTAAGGCCAGAACAATGTAGCCTTTCCCAGGCTAGGAACCACATCTGAGAAACCAAAGAAAATGAGGCCTGGGGTCTTTCCTACAGGACTCAGGGAAATTAGCAAAGTCAGAAGTCACCAGCCCAACCAGAAAGAGTCAATATAAAGCCTTTAGTCTTCAAAACAGTAAAATAAATTTTTTTCAAAGCCAGGGAAAAGGAATGACTCACTATAGTTTTTCATTTTGTCAGCCCTAGAAACAGCCAGAATTCTCCCCTGACCTTTACTCCGTCATCCACTCCCAGGAGACAGCAACTTTGTTTGGTTTTTTCTTTGGAGGTAATTAATGAAGTGGGTATGTCTTGCCATAATGTCTTCTGAATTCCTAGGGCAGTGGTCAGTTGACTTACTGAAGGCTTTTAAGATAACAGATCCTTTCCCACTTACTCCTTTTCACTCACTATGTACTCTTAACCAAAATGGACTATTTAACTGCACTTAGATGTGCCCTTCAATTTTCCTTCAGCTTGGGCCTTTGTTTACACTCTTCCCTCCACCTACAATGTCCTTTTCTCCCAACCATGCCAGTCTAATTCAATCAATTAATCAATAAATATATTAAACACCTACTAAGTGCTATTATTGTTACTGTTATGTCATTTCAGTCAAGTCTGACTCTTTATAACCCGATTTGGGGTTTTCTTGGCAAAGATACTAGAGTGGTTTGCCATTTCCTTCTCCTGTTCATTTTATAGATAAGGAAACTGAGGCAAACAGGGTTAAGTGACTTGCCCAGGGTTAGATAGCTAGTAAGTGTCTGAGGACAGATTTTTATTTTTAGTTTTTTGTTTTTTTTTAAAGCAATTGGGGTTAAGTGACTTGCCCAGGGTCATACAGCTAGTAAGTGTCAAGTGTTTGGTCTGAGGCTGGATTTGAACTCAGGTCCTCCTCACTTCAGGGCCGGTGCTTTATCCACTGTACCACGTAGCTGCCCCCTGAGGGCAGATTTTAACTCAGGAAGATGTCTTCCTGACTCCAGGCCCAGCACTGCCCCACCTAGCTGCTCCAACATTGTTAGGCATTGTGCTAAGTGCTAAGGGTATAAAAAAGGGCAAAAGACAGCTTCTGCTCTCAAGATGCTTACAATCAATTTCACTACATTTTCCTCAAATATCACCACCTCCCTATTTAGTATATTTATTTTGTGTATTATCTACTCTATTGCCCATAATAAGTGCTATTCGATAAACTCCTTTGGTTACCACTAGACCAAATATAAAATCCTCAGTTTAGCTTTTAAAACCTTTCATAACCTGGCCCCTTCTTACCTTTCCAGTCTTCTCATACTTTAATCTCCTCCATTTACTCTACAACTTCTCCCTCATTAAACTGAGAACTCCTTGAGAGCAAAGACTGTTTTTTCCTTTCTTTGTAAACCCGAACACTTAGTAGTGCCTGGAACACAGTAGGTACTTAATAAATACAAGTTGAGGCAGGTTGGACCCAAGATGGTAAAGAAAAGGCAGGAAATCACCTAATCTCTCCCAAATTCCCTTCCAAACAACTTTAAATAACACCTCAAAACAAATTCTGGAGTGGAAGAACTCACAAAAGGATAGGGTGAAACAATTTTCCAGCCCAAGACAACCTAAAAGGTTGATGTGAAAGTTTTGTCGCACTGGGAAGAGAGTGGAGCATGCTCCAGCACAGGCTGCGCCCCAGAAAATTCTTTGGGGGTGACTGATTAAGTGGCAGCAGTGGTGGCTTCTGGAGAGCTCAGGTCACAGATGTCAGACAAATGGTCAGAAGGAGATTACAGGGATCTCTTTGCTGGCACTGGGGGATTAAGCCTCTGTTGCATTGCCCATACTCAGATCTGGGTCACTGTCTCTAGGGGAACAGGGACCCTGTTCACAGTTCCAGGATAGAAAAGAGTATTTATGGTCTCTTACAAACCAGATTACAGACCAGGAGAGTAGTAAACACACTTCTCCTTAGATCATAGCACCTCAGAAGAACTGAAAATGTACGGGTCACCAGAATTAGCTTTGAAAACAACTGCATAAAAAACATGAAGCTTGGGACAGTGCCCCCCCCCCCCCAAAGCAGAGCCTCATTCTAACATAAAGCAAATAGTCAAGAAGTAGGCTAAAATGAGTAAACAACAAGAGATCCTGATCATATAAAGTTACTGTGGAGACAGGGAAGATCAAGACACAAATTCAGAAAACAACAAAGTCAAAACAGTCACATGCAAAGAAAATTGGTCACAGATCCAAAAAGAATTTCTGGAAAAATCAAAAAAGGCTTATAAAAATCAAATAAGAGAGGTAGAGGAAGAGTTGAGAAGAGAAATAAGAGTGATGTAAGAAAATTATGAAAAAGAAGTCAACACCTTGGTAAATGCTGAAGAAAATAAGACCTGAAAAACCAAAATAAGCCAAATGGTAAAAGAAGCACAAAAATCCAACAAACAGAAAAATTCCTTAAAAAGCAGAACTGGCTAAATGGAAAAAGAGGCACAAAAATCCATTGAAGAAAAGAACTCTTTAAAAAGTAGAATTGGACAAATGGAAAAGGAGGTACAAAAGCTCACTGAAGAAAATAATTCCTTTAAAATGAGACATCAAAAAAAATAAAATCAAATCAAAAGAGTGAAAAAACAGAAAAAAAAACCATGAAATATCCCATTGGAAAAAACAACTGGCCTGGAAAATACATCAAGGACAGACAATTTAAGAATTATTGGGTTACTTTAAATCCATGACCAAAAAAAGAGTTTGGCATCATCTTTCAAGATATTATCAAGGAAAACTGCCTTGATATTCTAGAACCAGAGGCTAAAATAGAAATGGAAAGAATCCACTGATCACCTTCTGAAAGAGACCCCAAAATGAAAACTTCCAGAAACATTACAGCCAAATGTCAGTGCCCCCAGGTCAAGGAGAAAATATTGCAAGCAGCCGGAAAGAAATAATTCATGGAGATTGAGGGGATGCTCATCAATTGGGGAATGGCTGAACAAGTTGTAGTATATGAATGTAATGCAATACTATTGTGCTACAAGAAATGATGAGCAGGCAGACTTCAGAAAAACCTGGAAAGACTTATATGGACTAATGCTGAGTGAAGTGAGCTCAGGAGAACATTGTACACAGTAACAGCCGTTTTGTGTGATGACTAACTTTGTTAAACTTAGGCCTTCTCAGCAATGCAAAGATCTAAGACATCTCCAAAAGTCTCATGATGGAAAATGCTATCCACATTCAAAGAAAGAACTATGGAGTTTGAATGCAGATCAAAGCATACTATTTACTATTTTTTCTTCTGTTTTGTTTTGTTTCCTCTTTCTCGTGGTTCCTCCTATTGGTTCTAATTCTTCCTTA